TGAAGCCCCAAGGCTTGGAGAGAAACAGAGCTGGAGCCTGGGAGAACTAACTCTCTACAAGGGTGAAGGGTGAGGCTGGAGATGGAGGACCCTTGTGTGGACAAGACCATAGTAAGCTATAAGGCCCAGTGAAGTCTCCTGCTCCCCTGCCCCCAGCGGTGTGCTGGTTTGTCTTGGAATCTGGTCAGGGAGCTGAGAAGAAACGTGTTGCTGCTATGGCTTGATGGTGTCTCCATTTCATGTGTTGGCAACTCAATCTTGAAATTCATATGTCGATGGTTTTTGGAGGTGCAGCCTTTAGGAAGCAGTTAGGATTAGATGAGGGTATTAGAATGGGGCCGCCATGGCTGGACTCGTGGCTTTATAAAGGGGAAGAGAGACCTGAGCTGTGTGCTTGCTCCATCCTGTCATGTCATGCCTCTGCTAGGGCTTGATGCAGGATTCACACCAGATGCCTATGCTAGGCTCACAACCTCCAAGATTGTGAGCCGAATACACTCCAGTTCTTTATAAATTGCTCAGTCTCAGGTATCTTGTTATAGCAGCTGAGGACAGACTAAGACACTTGGCTTTCTGCTGCTGAGCTGGGTGATGGATCTCACTGGCTCATCAAGTGAGGAAAATTCTGGGGCTCTGGAATGAATGTGGGAAGTGAGGAGATGGTCCTTTTTCCATATTTTCCCAATCCTACTTCAGCTGCAACCATCACGGCCTCAAAATAGCCAACTTGTAGTACCTGGATGCTGGAAAGATAGAGAAGATGGGAGGCAGGCAGGTGCCAGGGAAGCAAGTAAGACAGGCATAGGCAGCTGGCTCTAAGACAAGTGACACACACTACCCCACAGACCAGGTCTCTGGGGCAAATCACATGGTCATTTGGCAGAGCAGGGACAGGCCTCCTAATATCCCATCCAGGAAGGAGATGAGTTAAAATTAGGGTGTGCTGGTGCAGGGGACCTCAGGCTGGGGCACTGGTCACAGAGAGCATCCCTGGTTTACAGGAAGTGGAAAGCCAGCCCTGTCTGAGCTTCCCAGGGTGTAATGAAGGATACGAAGAGCTGGCAGCTGCTCGCATTACCTGGGTTGGGAGACTTGTGTGTCTGCAGAGTCCAGGCCAAACCAAAACCCTTGAGCCAATTCGTAGCGAAGGGATGAAGACTGGGTATATGACCTTCTCACCCTGGTTAGGTGTGGGCAGGCCCTTTCTTACAGGCAAGCCCTTTCACCTCCTCAGCATGGGTTGAACCAAGATAGACAGCTCGTCTCAGTGGCACCAAGGACCATCTTTTGACAAACTCACTCCAAAGATGGGCCAGGGCTGGGACAGAGGGGCACCACTAGCAGAGGGATGAGTGTGGTGGGTCACCAAGGAAACAGAAGGGCAGGGCTTTCCATTTCATGAAAAAAGGAGTTTCCATATTTCTTCGGACCTTGAACTGGATCCTGACCTCCTGAACATGCAGGGGAACTCATCCCTGCAGAGGTAAGAATTTCTGGCATTTGCTAGAGATGGACTGGACAGTAGAGGGGGCAGGGTAGGAACAGAATCAAGGTTTCTTCATGAGTGGGGAGGCCAGGGTCAGTCTCGCTGCCACTCTGTGCCTCAGTTTCCCTTTGTAGGCTAATAACCCCTCACAGAGTTATTTAAAAGGTCCCAAGGTGAAGTAAGGTCAAAAGTGTAGCTCCAGTGAGAAGTCCCTACTCCTCATCGCACACAGGACTATGGTTTCCTGCCTCCCCTCTAACTAAATGGCCATCTTGTTGATGGTTACGAACAATGGTGCCTTTGTCCTGGGGACCTACCAGGCCAGGCAGACTGGTGTCCCTGAGAATTTGTTGCTGTTGGTGGCACCTCCTAGGTTTCTACCAGTGCCACCAGGATCTTGGACACACCTGAAGACATTGGCTTCTTCTGTGAGTGTCAGTGATGCCTCAACAGGGCCTTCTAAAAGACAGCTAGTCATAGCCTTGGGGTGTCTGCTTCCTCCAACTTGGGTAACCATGGAGGTGAACTGGGCTCAACAAAGTGTGAAGTATGGGGTCTCACCTGGCTCCATCAGAGTCTCTGTTGACCTTGGAGAAGTATCTGCCAGTTTACTCCTCTGAGACAGGAGATAGCTGACTGTTGGGTGGCTGAGACCCTGGCAACTTTAGCAGAAACTCTTCCGTGGGGTTTCTGCTCCTGGATACCTCCTGAGTTGGTCTTTCCCAAATGCTGTCTACAGCAGCCCACTATTCTCCCACTTTATGTAGGGACTCTAAGAAAACCCTTTGGCTCTGGGACCTTTGGTGACATGAAGATCATTGAGAATTTAGCTACAAACCAAACACATACTGCTTCTGGCCAGTGTCCCCAGACACTGAAACACATTCCTGGGGGTTCTAAGATTGGAGTAGGCTTTCATTCCACACAGGCTGTTTGCCCACTAGTCATGCCAATCACCAACAAACACCAGGCGCTCCTTCCTCCATGCCCTTACCGGAAACTGCTGAATCAACACTTTGTACTCACTTCTTCCCAATCATTTGGGTTGAGAAGGTGAATGAAAAAGGAAAGGAAAGGAAGAAAGAAGCCAGCCCAAGGATATAAAGCCTTCCAAGGTGGCCAGCCCACAGAGGTCTCCATCTTCTTGTTCTCTAGCACACAAGTCCCACCCCTCCCTATCTCTTGCACAAGTTTCCTCCCATCAAGGCTCCACATCCAGACCCAAGGGGTTTTGAACACTAGAAACACATGAAAGGGATTTTTAGGCTTTTCCACGACACCAGTCTCTCCACCTCATTGCCTGGCTCAGGTCCTGATTGTCACCCACTAGGCATTTGTTCACTGGTGCAACAAAAAGAAGAAAAGGACAGATTTGGGCTTTATAGGTTTTATAAGGGAAGCTGTCCCCAGGCTGCTTTGGAGGCAGGGCTGTGCAGCAACCTAGCATGGGTCAGTGTCACTGAGGTCAGTGTGGACATGGACAGCTTCCCCTGGAGAGGCTGCATGTTGGGCCTGATGGACAGGACCTTGGGAGCCAAGTGCACAGCCGAGGACCCCACGCTGCAAAAGCACAGGGCCAGGAGCCCAAGAGCTGCTCTTAAGCCCAGCTGACGCGTTTGCCAAGCATGAATCAGGAGGATAGATATGACTCTTCTCGCACGGGTCCCCAAACCCTGCAATAAAAGACCTGAATGCAGCTTCAAGAGCAGAGTGAAACTTGCTCTTGGCATTGGAAAAAGGGCTGGTGTCTTTTGAGGAGGAGGAGAAGTTGCAGAGAAAGAAGAAATCCTGAAGCGACAGACAGTGGGACAGCTGTGGCCTGAACTTGCTGTTCTTGCTCCTTGGATGTGGATGGATTAATTTCCATAAATGCTAATAGCCTATTTCCCCAAGAGCTATTACTTATGTCATCTCCCCTTGGATGTGGTTCAACATAGGGCAGACAAATGGAAGGGAGGAAAAGTCAACCCCTATTGGTGGGTCTGTGGCTCTGGTCCCTCTCCCACCTGGGCAGCTCAGGTCTGGTTTCTAAGGTGGTCCTGCAAATCTCAGGGACCACCTGCCTTCAGCCAGATCCCTATCACACCAAGAAGCAAAGAAAGTTACCAACCCCAAAAATGCTGAATCACAAAGTGAGGCAGAGCAGGAAAGTGGGGGTGGGGTGGGGAGAAGGATGGTAGAGAGGAGGAAAGTGTGCTTAGAGGTTTCCCACCTTTAGCATCCCAGGATGCTCTAGGCAAAGTGTAGCCCTCACAGGGGCCCCCCAGGACAAATGTCAGGAGGAGCAAGCAGGGTGCGTGCACCCAGTCGGGAAGGGTGAGCAGGTAGGCAGGTACACGCCGCCGCTCATACTGCAGCAAGCAGCAGTGCAGCACTCCAAGCTCTGCATCCCGCAGGAACAGCAGCAGGTAGGAAGGTGGGGAAGAGCTTTGTGCCAGGGCCTGGGCAGGAGGGAGAAGCTGAGGATAGGACTTGGGGTTCAGGGATGGGAGTGGGAGAGTGGAGGGTGTAGGTAGCCCGGGGAACAGATGCAGGGAGGGAGCGTCAAGGTCCTGGGGAGCAGGGCAAGCTGGAGAGAGCCTCCGTGGGGAGAGAGCCTCTGCGGGAAGGAGCTGGGAGCAGAATGGGTGAAAGGATGGGACGTAAGGGAACGTAGCGAGGATGAAGGATGAGCCTTGAGAAGCAACGAGGAGAGATGGACCGGGACTGGGAGCGCTCCAATGGGGATGCGCAGAGGCCGGGAGAGGTGTTGGGAAGGATGGAGAGAAGAGGGAGGTGAGGTTGCGGGAACCGGGAGGTGGCAGCGATGGGGATGAAGTTTGGGGCAGGGGTCGGAGATGTAAGCTGAAAGGTCAGGCGGGATGATTAGGAAGCAAAGGCAGGATGGGATGGGGGAAGGGAGATGATGGAGAAGGAGGTGAGGAGGTTGGAGAGGAGGTGAGAACGGCGGCGGGGGCAGGGACGCAGGCCGTGGAAGAGCAGATGGAGAGGGACCGCGGTGCCCGCCGCAGCGCGGCCTCTCAGGTGCCCGCCGCCGCTCTACCGGCGCAGGTCCTCGGAAAGCGCGGCCCGCCGGGGTCTCCCCCTGCACTCACCTGGGGGCTCCAGCTCCGGATCCTATGTCCCGTTCCGGATCTTCCTTCCCGCCCTGCCCCTGCGACTTTAGCGCCCCCGAATCCCGCTCGCTCCGGCAGGTTCCGCCCGCAGCATCTTCACCTCGTGGGACGCCCGAGGCCACGCCCCTGCCAGCCTATCATTGGGTGTTGTTCACGCCAGTCACACTCCCGTTGGTTGAAGGATCGTCATCCATGCAAATCAGGATGGGCCCGCCGCCGCGTCCATTGGCTGGCGCTTGCGGAGAGAAGCTTCCTGATTTGGGCGCTGATTGGCTCTGCGGCCCCGACGAAAAAGTGACGCCAAGCGGGTTCTCGGCCTGAGTGCGCGGCGCGCCGCCGCCGTCGGAGGTTCCTTCCGTGCGTGGAGGAGAAAGAGGAGCGTTCCCCCGGCCAGTACTGGGTCAGCAAGGCCTGCGGCTCAACTCGGCACCGGTCACCAGGTCTCTGGGTCCGCGGTGCGGAGTCTTCCGCGAAAGTGTGTGTTCCCACGTCCTAGGCGCGGCCGCGGCGGGCCCGTCTCCTAGGTAACGCGGCCCGTGGCGGGCGGAGCCATGTAGGCGGGCGCCACGGGGGAGGTTGGCCGCGGCCTAGGGGCGCGGGAGGCCGTAGGGCGGGCCAGGCTTCTGGGTCTCGGAGTGGGGTGGTCCGCCCGGCCTCGTACGGGGATTCAGTGCCTACAGGGCGCGGCGGTGGGGCGCGGAGCTAGGCCGTGCCCACGTCGGTCACACCGTAACCCCGGGCAGTTGGTACGGTCTGGGCTCCTTAGGCTGCTCCTTTGCTCCCAGACCTCGCGCCCACTGCAACCCCCGGCCGGGGTGGGCGTGGCCACTGGCGCCCGTGACCTCGGTGTCCCCGGGTCTGTTCGCGCGCATCCTTCCCCGTTCTAGCTCGTTCAGGACCCCGCGACCGGCTCTTGCGGCTCTTTTATGTGCCGCGTGGCCCTGACCCTGCCCAGCCCTGGGACCTCCCGTCCGCCACGCGCCTCCCGTCCTCGCATGTCCACCCCCCCACCCCCGTCCAGCCCGCTGCTGCCGCGGGTCTCCCCGTGTCCGGCCCTGCGTGCGTCCGCGGTGATGCGCACGAGGCTCGCACGGAACTCCGCGAAGGAAGCCGGTCTCGCGCGTGCAGTGAGCGAGGAGGGGTATTTGGGAGGACGGTGGTGGGGTCTCCCAGTTCCAACCCCCGTTTCAGGGTAGCTCACCCCTGCAGTGTTCGTGGGCCACAGTTCTGCCTTGTGCTGTGTCCTGCCTGGGCCTCACTTTACCTCCCATCCCCTGGGGGCAAAAGAGCTTGTCTGCTGCGTCAAGGATACTGTCTCTAGGCCCTTAGCATAGGGTGAATGAGGGAATGCCTGGCAGCCCTAATCAGCCCTCAAGTAGTCCCCCAGAAGCCCCAGGGCTCCCGAGCCTCAGGGCCAGGCAGTTCTTTTGGGAGGAGGCATCCCTGGGCCTGGCAGCGGTTCCCACCTGCTGCCCTTCCTTCTCCTGGGAACCACTGTTGGTGGGACTTCATTCAGCCCAGCTCATAACTTCAGGCTTTCCTGGTTCCCTCCCCATTCCATCAGAAAAAGTAGCTCGGGCTAGGCTCCTGTGCTGTTCATTCTCACCCTCTTGTCTTTCTCCCCCACTGAAGGTTTAGATTATTGGAGACTGGGCGTTTGATGGCCTTCGTGTTGTGGAACACACAGGTGCTTGGTAAATGTTTGTCAAGTAGATCTGTAGAAGCAGAGACCTCCGAGGGACTTCCTGGCGCGCACTGTGTAGATTGGAAACGGGCAGGGAGGGTGGGGTCTTTACTGAAGTTGGGAGGAGGAGAGAGGACTGGTTCCTTGGGTGCCTCCTTCCTGCTTTCACTGCCATCTTCTGGTCTCGGGGATGGAGCTGGGAGGGAGATAGCGTGGCTGAGATGGCTTTAGGTCAGTTCTCACTAGTCGTGGACTTTGGGCTGGCTGTTTAGCCTGAGCCTCAGACTCCTCATTCATGAGATGGAGCAGTGATGATGCTTTGCATTTATTGGGTTAATAAACATGGGAATGCTGATGAGTTCCTGGCTCAATCAAAATTGGTGCATTTTCTTCTTGTTTCCCTGGAGAGTCTAGTGTACCTTTTCTTGGATTCAAAGCATGGAACCCTCCCAGTTTCCTCTTTCTAATGTTCATTTGGCCCCAGTGGCCATTTCACCTTTTTTCCAGGGTGTTTCTACATAATCACTAAAAGATTCTTGTTGAGGCTACAGCAGTGTAGCCCCATGCAGTGAGGTGACTTTCCCCTAAAGGTCTGCATGGGGGAAGATGGAGGTGGTACCTAGCTGCTTACTCCGAGTAGGTGGGCCAGGTGTGGGAAGAGAAGCTAGAGCCCTTGGGGCTGTCTGGGTCATCCCCCATACCATGTGTCCTTGGGAGTGTTGCCTCTCCCTCATTCTGTTGTCCAGACCCCATGGCTCCAGCCTCAAGATTTCCACATGGGACAGATCCTCCAGGATTGGTGCCTTTCTCCCAGTCTGGACCTCCTAGGACAGTAGGGGCAATGAGGGCAGGCAGTCCCCTGTGCTAGTGGACTGGCACTTGCATGCTGTTCAGCAGCATCTCCTGAGCACCTGGGCACCTGGTGCTGCAGACACTGGGGAAGGGGGAGGGAAGCCCAGGGTTAGGAAGGGTCTTCCTCTGCAGAAACTCCTGCCCAGCCATCATGAGTTCCGAATGAGTATATACCTCCATGTCATCACAAGAGGCAACCTGAGAACAAAGTTTCCCTAAAGCTTCATTCGATTTTGTGTCTATTCTTGGAGCTCTGCTGTTGAACTGGGTGCCAAGGCCACAGGTGGGACAGGCTTCTTCTGCAAGGAGCTGGCCAGTGAGCATCAACTCAAGACATGAGACAGTGCTGTGACCAAGAGAAGCATAGAGGCCATGTAAGCCTGGGACTGAACTCCAGGGGGTGTCCAGGAGGAAGTGTCCTTTGAACTGGGTGTTAGTCAGGCCTTTTTGCTTATATGTCATGGACAAGCTGCTATCACAAAATACCACAAACTCAAATACCCCAAAATAAATGGCTTGAAATAGCACATTCATTCTTTTCCAGTTGATGAGGTCAGAAGTCAAAAATCAGTCTCACTAAGCTAATTTCAAGGTGTTGGTAGGGTGGATTTCTTCTGGAGATTCTGGGAAGAACCTGCTCCTTCCTTTTCCAGCTTCAGGTGGTATCTGTGTTCCTTGTGGTTCCTTCCTCCTCCTTCAGATCTTCCTGCTATGGTTGTCACTTGGCCTTATTTCTGATCCCTCCCACTGGTCTCTTGGAAGGACCCTCCGATAACCAGGCTCCCTGGATAACCCAGGATGATCTCCCATCTCACAGTCCTTGACATTACTCTGGTGCAAAATCTCTTTCGCTGTGAAAGGTTATGTGGTCCCAGGTTCCAGGGATTAGGATGAGGACATGTTTTGGAGGCCATTATTCAGCCTGACAGGAAACGTTACTGGGGGAGGGGCAGAAGCTTCCTAGGGCCTTTGTTGGCCCATGCCACTCACCCCAATCACCCCCTGTGGATGTGGGGGGGCTGTTGTCCATCATCCCCACCTCACTGCTGTGTGTCCCCCTGCACTTGCCTCTGCCCATGTAATCCCTGTGGTGGCCAGTGGCTCCTGGGCCTCTGGACTGGGTAAATCTGGGCAGCTCTGGGCACTGTAGGAGGGACAGCCTGGGCTGAGTCTCCCAGAAAAGACTTCGCCTGTGATGCTCTATAGGTCACCTGTTCCCCTTTGAACCAATCACTGCAAGCGTCTGGCCAGATTGGGTTGCAGTCCCCACAAGCATGGAATTGACTGAGGTATGTTGAACAGACAGCAACACACAGGATGCAAGAAGCACAATGGCAGATTGCTCTGGCTCCGAGGGAGCACCTGGCCTGCAGGGGCCTTCCAGGGGTGGCTAGGACCTGGGCCAAGGCCCCTGGGAATGAGAGGAGCATCCTAGGCTGCCAGGCATGGCCTTCCCATTCCCCATACCGTGCTGTGAGCATGGAGGGGGATGCCCTTAGAGTAGCTCCTCGGCCTTTTTTTGGTCTCAGATACCTTACTTTTAAAAAAATTACCAAGAACCACAATGAAGTTTTGTTTATGTGAGTTACATGTATTGATGTTTACCATATTAGAAATCAAAACTGAGAAATATTAAAAAAATGAATTCTTTTAAAAATGACAGCAATAAACTGGCTACATGTTAACCTAAAAGGCTTTTTAAAAAGCGAAAGCCAACAACAACAAAATGGTGGGACGAGGGATGGCTTTGCATTTTTTGCTAATGTCTTTTTTTGTTTTTCTTTGGTGGCACTGGGGTTTGAACTCAGGGCCTCTTGCTTGCTAGGCAGGCGCTCCACCACCTGAGTCCTTCTACTAGTACCTTTTTATTCCCCACTGGGTATTTTCGAATAAGGTTATGAAAATTCTGTGCATGGGCTGGCTTTGAACCATGATCCTCCAGATCTTTGCCTGCCAAGTAATTAGTATTACAGAGTAAGCCACTGGCTCGAAGCGTTGCTAATGTCTTTAATGTCTGGCTTGGAAGAAGACAGCTGGGTGCACTTCTGCATTTTTGTCTTGTTTTGGTGGAAGCATTTGAAGGAAATCTGTCCTCACCTGGATGAGAGAGCAGGGCCTTCAGGTGTGAGGGAGATGTCTTCCTTGATGCTGTGTCTACCTTCCATAGGCAGTAGTTTTTAAAATGCCTCACACAGTGTCCATGAACTCTTACCCTCTCTGCCCATAAACACCTCTGCTCTGTCTGGCTCTTGGAGGCATCTTTTGCTCCTGTAGGATTTTTTTTTCCTTTTTTTTTTTTTGGTGGTACTGGGGTTTGAACTCAGGACCTCATGCTTGCTAGGCAGGTATTCTAGGGCAGGTATTCTACCACTTGAGCTGTTCCATCAGGTGCTCCTTAATGATTTTGCATCATTTGCTTGGAAAATACTGGTTCTGAGTTAGGCAGCCCTTCCAAATAGTGAAACGTTGAACCGCACAGTTTCTGAGGCTCAAATTGGCTGTGCCCAGCTCATCAGGCAAGTCTTGAGGTGTGAAGCTGCCAGGCTCACAGTGAGACATGGATGCTCCCAATTCTCATTTTTGTTCCCAAACTCCATTTTTACTAGTTATTTTCCTTAAAGTGACAAACTCACTTTGTTCATGTTTGAGAGTATCACTCAAGTCCTACACCTGAGTAACTATAGCTTGTCCCTCAGTATTAATGAAGGAAAAAGCAAGTATGGCCAGCAGCCCTGCTTCCTGTGGGATGACCAGCATCCTTCAGTTTGCAGCACAAACGCTTTCTATGTGTCCTGTTTTGTCCCACAGAATCTTAACATGTGCACCCTGCAGTTGAAATATAATGAAAATAACACCCTCCAGGGCTCTGCCAAGGATGTTCTCCAGTGAGGCGTGGTAACAAACTCCATGAGGACCTGTAGAGTTGGGTGCCACTGCCTCGGGTTGGGCTGGGCCCAGCAGCTGTGCTGCATCAGCGCTGGTGTCAAAGGGATGGAAACAACAGGACCATGTGAGGGTTAGCAGACAGCTCTGACCTCACAGAGTTCCTGCCACATGTGGAGAGCCACTCTGGAGAGTCACTGTCCCAGGAACTGTGTTACCCGCCTTCCTTCTGCCTGCTGTTTGGTGCTGGAAGCTCAGCTTTTTGTCAAGGCCTGGATCTTGATTCTATGTCAGTTGAGGGGACGTTGGGAAGGTGCAGACCCTGTCTGGCTGGAAGGTGTCAGTTAATCCTGAATGGATTAACTGGTCCCTAAGAAGGCAGGAGTCCTGAACCTGCCCCAGCCTATTTGGGCAACAAGTATGTGTAGCTGAACTGTCCCCTTGTACTGGAGTTATGCTGCCATCAAGCCAATGCTCCACTGATGACACTAGGTCTCACTGGCTCTGGAACCTGCTTCTGTTCTCTTCTTTAGATGTGAGTCTCACGGTAGCTGCTCCTAGGGTGGCCTCTGGCAACTTGAGAGTGACAACCTCTGCTCCAGGGGCTGTTTTCTGTTTTCAGGAGAGCCAGCAGGGCCCTGAGGTTTATATCTGAGATTTAGATTTCATTGATGCTGATTGGGTCGTGCTCCCACAGTAGGTCTGGATATTAACTGCCACTCACTGTACCCTTGTGCAGTGCTCAACCTATAGAACTGTACAAAGTAGTCCTGAATGTACCCATCCCTAAACAGTCTCTGAGGCTAGGGCAGGGGGTTCTTTGGGCAAGATGGGCATATTTCCCAGGGAGCAGCAGGGGTGTGGGTCAGTGTGCACGTTGCTGTGCTGGAGTTTAGAGGGTGGGGTTGCAGAGTGTTGATTTTGGGTGTGGGTTCCTCTGGGAGACATTCAGAAATGCTGTGAACATTGTGGTTCTGATGACTTTTCCCTTTATTTGAACACGAATGGTGCAGAAATCCTGGAGGTCCAGGTGATGATCAGATGGGCAGCATGGACGACTGGCACAGGACCTTTGCCCAGAGCACACTTGTCCCTCCTCACCCCCAGAGGGCACGGCAGCTTTCAAAGGAGTCTGAGGCATTTCAGTGTGTGCTGAAGTGGCTTGAGGGACCGCTAATGAAGCAGGTAATGAGATTGGCTGTTTGTTCAGATGCTCTCTGGGAGGGTTTCCCATCAGCATCGATTTTCACTGGTCTGCTTGGGGCTCATCACCGTGCCATTACCTTGGCTGGGGGCATTGGAGGAGAATGGTCCATCAGCACAGAAAACATAGGGTACCAGACTTCGTCGGTGCTTTCAACACTGGGTCAGGGTTGCTTTCTGCCCACAGTGGGACCTAGGTAGCCTGGTTTGTGGGTTATTTCCAAGCCAGGCTGTTTGTAAGAAAGAGGATGCATTATGCATGACTCGACATTCATCCTGCAAGTAGGGCCACAGAGGCAAAGCTCTGGGCATCTTGGCTGCTCTGTCTATGGCGTGTCCGTGTCCTTGTGCCTGGCTGTCCCATGGCCTACTGCACGCTCAGGCCTGGGCCCCGATGGCTCTAACCCAGTCCCATTGGTGTATGCATATGGTACTAACATGGTTTCTTACAGGGTTTAGTGTGGCAATTCCATTGTCTTCTGCAGCTGGCACGGTGATATTTGCACACATTTAAAGTTGTTGGAGTCCTGGGTCTGTGAATAGTTGGCAGTCACTAAGTCACTAACATCCCCATCATTCACTTCTACACATTTTGTTGAGTACGGGTGTTTGCCTGGGTTGGCACTGGGTGGAGTCACAGCTTTACTTCTTAGTATGAGTGCTCTTCCTTTGCCCTCACAGCCCTGGAAAGAGGGTGCCGGCATCATCCCCCTTCCACAGAAGAGGAGCAGATCCTGAGAGGAGGGAAGCCAGCTGGCCCTGGATTTCCACTCGACTGGACCTGCTCTAGTAGCTCCCCTTCCAGGAGCTCAGAGGCACTCAGTCATTTTCTTTCCTAGCAGGTTTATAAAGGAAATTTTATTTCCCGTTTTATTTTTGAAAAGATAATTTACATAGTTCAGAATTCACAGGAACCCAGGGAATGTGAATCATCCCATGGTGTCCCCAAGAGATTTTACTACTTAAGCTATGCCCTCCCACTGGCCCAATTTTTTCTTTTTTTATTATTATTTATTTTTTGGCACAGATTCTTGCTATATAGCTTATGTAGCCTCTTGAGTCTGGCATCACACATGTGGGCCACCATGCCTGGCTTAGCTTTTCTTTTTTGTTTTGTTTTTATTGGTGATAGTAGAGTTTGAGCTCAGGGCCTTGCACTTGCTAGGCAGGCACTCCAGCCCTGTTTTGCTTTAATTATTTCTTAGATAGGATCTTGCACCTGGGACTGCATTCCTGTCGCTTGTTCAGCCAGGACCACAGGTATACACCACACTTGGCTTATTGATTGAGATTGGGTCTTACTAACTTCTGCTTTGAACTGGGATCCTCCTGCTCTCTGCCTCCCAAGTAGCTGGGATTCCAGGTGTGAGTCACTGTGCCTGTGACATGTATCTGCAGAATAATTCCTACAAGTTGAATTCCTGAAATCATCTGCTAAAAGTTATTTAAAGCCACATTATATTTTATTTACAAAAAAGCAAATTTAGACATAAAGACATAAACAGGTTTGAGGGACTACATGGAAAAATAAACTCTAAGTAGTAAGCGTAAGGAAGTGTGTGATAGTGCTAATGTTTGACCTTGTAGAGTTCAAGGTGAGAAGAACTAGAGGTCAAGGGACACTTCACACAGATAATGGTAACCAGGAGGACTCAGCAGTTCGTAGGTGTGGTATGCACCTGTGCCAGGGCCCTAGACCACCCCTGGTTGGAAGAAGCTGTAGGAGGACTCCCAAGATTTGTATGGTTTTATCCACAACTTAGACTTGTATAACCAAAGGACACAGGAGATCAACAAAGGAAGAAGGGCACCAGCTTCTGAGAGTCCCCCCTTGTCACCACACATGTGGAATGTTGTCTAGCCTGAACAAAATGCCAGACTTCCAGAGGGGAGGCAGATACTCAGCATGGACCAGGGTCTGTGCAGTTTAGGCATAGTGAGCCACCCTTAGCAGGTAGGTGGTGGGAAGCCTCTGAAATCCAAGCTCCCAGACTCCAGCTAAGGCCAGCATTATAAGCTAGCCTTTCAAAGCATAGCAGTCAGGCCTGTTGTATGGCTCACGTGTGCAGTGTGTAGTAACAAGGCCTCAGGCTATTGTAGAGCTTGTACATGCAGCTCCCAGTAGAGGGCTTCAGGCCTGCCTCACTGCTGGCGTGCACAGTGCCCAGTAACAAGGCCTCAGGCCATTTCTGTGGCTTGTATGCATCACACCCAGTAACAGGGCTTCCAGATACCTGAAGCTAGTTGGAGACTTTCCTCTCTCAATCAGTAGAACAAATATAGAAAAAAAAATAATATGGAAAATAAACCATCAGCCATCTTGACATCTCTAAAATCCTACCATCAACAGAAATAGGCTACATATTCTCAAATGCACGAGGAGTGTTCACCAAGACCATATGCTAGGCTATAAAAATGTCAAAGAACCATTTTACACAAAGTGTGCTCACTGACCACTATGGCATCAAACTGGAAATCGGTAATAACAGACCTAGGAGATCCTCAAATAGTAGGAGTTGACACACTGCCAGATAACCCTTGGGTCAGAGAATAATTCACAGGGAAATGAGAAAAGAGCTATAGCTAATGGCAGCCCTGTGAGGGGAATATACAACTTTATTAGCAAAGAAGAAAGGTATAACATCAGTGATTCCTCCTTAGAAACCTCAGTAAAAAGAACAAATGCAGCATAAGGTAAATAGAAGAAAGGAAATGGAAGATGTCTAAGCAGAAATCAGTAAAGTAAGGGACAGATCATAGAGAAAATCTGCAAAGGGGCTGGAAGTTGGTGTTTTGAAATTATTAATAAATTGATAAGCCTTTAGCAAGACTTATTAAGCAGAAATATGAGTGAGAAAGAAACGGTACCAACAGTGGTAATGAAAGAAGTGTTGTTACATATCCCACAGACACTGCAGATGTAACGTTGAATTCTATTAACTTTTAAAGGAGAGCCAGGTGTGATGTTGTAGCTGTAATCTCACTTACTGGCTTGTGGAGGCCAAGGCAGGAGAATTACAAGTTCAAGGCCAGCCTGGGCAATTTGGTGAGACCTTGTCTCAAACTAAAGTAAAAAAAGTGATGGGGCTGTACTTCAGTGGTAGAGTACTTTCTTAGTATACGCAAGGCCCTGAGTTTTAGCCCCAGTATTGAAAAAAAAGTAGAAACCAAAAAACAAAAACTAAGAAATCATGCCAATTCCTGACAAACTTAGGGAATAGAGAAAGAGAGATGCTTCCCAAAATTCATTTCTTGAAGCCACCATGACTGATGACCAAACCAGTAAAGGACACTGTAAGACAGGCGACATCCCTCGAACATGAGGACATCGCCTCCCACACACATGGGCATGTAGAGGGTACTGTGTCCCCATCAAGTGAGGCTCATGCAGGAACACAAGGTTGGTTCTGCATAAAGAACACTGTATAGCACTTAACATGAGATAAAGTTGCACATAGATGTTAGGAGGAAGACGTGGCTTAAATGGTTTACAGGTGTGCGCATAGGCTTGAGAGTCAGTGGTTTTGTATGATAACAGTGCACCCTGTGACAGGAGAAGAATGTGATATGCTTGTTTTGAGCTCAGGGTTCTTCCTTGGATACTTTGGTATGTTTCTCCTACTATCCCACTTGCTTTTATTGGTTAAGTTTCATTTTACCATGAGTATTGACTCTTCCTTGGGATGACTATTCATTTTGATATTTATTGAATCCCCATTATTATATATTTAGAACTGTGCAGGGGACACAAAGATGGCTCTGCTCTAGGTTGTCTTCCTGGAGCATTTAGCCTGGGTGGGATGATGGATCTGGGAACCTACCTGAGGAGAACTGGGTACAGAGTAGTCTGGAGGTGGGGAGGGCTGGTATGGTCTGCTTCTGGGAAAGGAGTCCAAGCCAGCCTCACGTCTCCCAGGGACTGCTCAGCCTTCACATGTTGACATGGACCCTAATCAGAGTGCAGGCTTGGTGAGGACTCAGCCTGGCCCATAGCCTCAGGACCAGTCAGACCTCGTATTGCACAGGTGTTTGCTTCTGCATTTCCTCACCCTTCCTTTTCTCACGCTCTCTGGGGAGGGCATTTCCAGCCAGGTCAACCTGAACCAGGTCATCCCCAGGTAGTACATCTCTCCTGCCTCCTGCCTGCATGGAGGCAGTGGCCTCTGCCCATCCTGCTTTCCTCCTGCCCCACCTCAGCATCAGTCATTTTCTTAAAACCTTGAATTGGCTTGGTCTATTTCTGCTTGGGGGGTCTTTGGGAGTCAAGGCTTGGCTTCTCCTTGGGCTCCATGAGACCTGTGGGAACTGCGGCTACACCTGTTAGCTTTTGTCCTTTCCTCTTGCTTGGCCTGCTGCAGCCCTGTGGGTTCTCTGTGGTAGAATGTACCTGGGATTTTGTTTCTCTTCAGGGTTGGTGATGCATAAGATCAGAAGACAGTAGCTATTGAAAAGAGGGCTTGCTATTGTTGGTAAGAGGTGAGCAGGCCTTACCTGACAGGCCTGCACAGTGCCACACAGGGAGGCATGGGTCAGGCATGAGTAGAATGGAGTAGAAGGGAGAAGGTGAAAGCCTAGATTCAGCCTTTCCTGTGGCTTTTACAGGAAGGAAGTGGCCAGTCAAGGTAAGCAGTCTGAGGACCAGCCACTTTGAATAACTGCAGTCGTCTCTGAGTTGTAGACACGGCCTATAGGTGCCTGGTTCATGGAGTGAGAGATCCAGGTGGAGGGTACATTTGCCATCTCTGGGAATTATCCCTAAGGGTCAGGGGGTGCCCAGATGGCAGAGCGTCAGGCATGCAGAAAATGAGAAAATATAGTTCACATAGCTAAAAACAGAACACTTCTCTGGTCCCTGAGCAGCAAGCTGTCTTCTGCCCCAGGGTCTTGGATTTCTCTGCTCCTTCTGCCTGGCTCACTGTCCTCAGATCCCCATGGTCCTTGCACTCCTCATAGTTCTCCGCTCAGACATCATCTTCCCAGATATCCTTTGCTGGCCAGCCCTAGGTGGCGGACTTCCCTGCTTCTTCATGCAGATCTCATGGGGGAAGAGATTTTGTCTTCTTTTTTCCCTCTTATATCCCCAGTGCCTGGTACAGAGTAGATTCACACAGTCTACCAAATCTTGCCACAAATAATTCTGGCAAGTTGAGGTCTTAGAGTTTCTGGCTATATCAGAAAGCACTCATTTGGCAAATGATGAAGCAGTCCATCCAAAATGGCTTAAACTAGATGTGATTTAACTCATGTAACAGATAAATCCACAGTTAGTTTAAGCTTCAGGTGTATTTTGATACGCTGTTACTTGGACTTGTTCTCTCTTACCTCTTGACTCCATCTGGTGACAGAGTGGCTTTCAGTAGTTCCACGCCTGCCTATTGCCACACATGACTGTATCTGCAGTCCTGGCCTCTTGCATCATGTTGGCTCTGGGTATGTATTAAGCCTGTGTCTGTTCCAGGGGATGTCAGGGCTCAAATTGGCCAGAGGAGGGCTGAGCACTATGATTTATAATGCCATCAAGACCAGTGGCTGTAAGAGAGATGTTGTTCCCCCAAAGAATGGGGCTGCTGATAGCAAAGCATGTGGATGGATGCTGAGGGCCCCAGCATGATGAGATGGGAGTGGAGGTGGTCTTTAGGGCTCATTTCCTTCTGTGCTGTCTCCTAGGGAGTGCTGGAGGTGTTGTCGGAGGTCGAATGCCATCTACGAGTGTCTCTCTTTGATGTCACTTATCGACACTTCTTTGGGAGGACATGGAAAACCACAGTGAAGCCAACTAAGCAGCTCTCAAGGCAGCCACCCAGGATCATCTTCAATGAGGTAGGCCCTAGTGACAGTGCACAGGGGCTGCTTTGTGTTGGGGTGCAGGTATGCTTGGTTCTGGGATGTGCAGCTCAGAGAGTGGGGTGGCGGGTCTTGGCCCAGAGAGGACTGGTGCATCAGACCTGTAGGGATGTCATGGAGGAGAAATCCGTCTTTGCAAAGCTTGCTTTAGTTGGGGGATGGGGGGATCTTCGTTTCTAAGCAAACTCTTAGGTGGAAGCTGCATGCTCTAAAGAGATCATCTAAAGAGATGAAAATGTAAAGGACACAGGGGTCCCATTTAAGGAACCCTGACAATGTCTTTTCCTTTGAGTTTTCCTTCTTTTCTTCCCTTTCTCCTTCCTTTTTTTTTTCTTTTTTGGTGATGGGACTGGGATTTGAACTCAGGACTTGATGCTTGCTAGGCAGGTACTCTACCACTTGAACCACACCCCCAGCTCACCTTCCTTTCTTTTTCTAAGATGATGTGTTAAGGGCCAGATGTGGAAGCTCACATCTGTATCCCAGCTGCTCAGGAGGTAGAGATCAGAAGGATTGAAGTTGCCAGCTTAGGTAAAGAGTTAGCAAGACCTCATTTCAACACAAAAGCTGGCCATGGTGTCGGCACACCTGTCATTCCAGCTACTTTTTCAGGCTAGCCTGAACAAAAAAACGCAAGACCTCACTTGTAAAATAAAGTAAAAGTGGTGGGTGGAATGACTCAAGTGGTAGAGCGCCTGCCTAGCAAGTGTGAGGCCCTGAGTTCAAACCCCAGTGCTGCCTCTCCCACCTACTCACATGTTAGACTTTCGTTGCCCTGACAAAATGGGAAGCAACTTACAAGGAGGAAGGATTTAGGCTGGGTGTGGTGGCTCATGTCTCTAATCCTAGCTTCTGCAGAGGTAGAGATCAGGAGGATCCCAGTTCAAGACCAACCTGGACAAAAAGTTATAGAGATCCTATCTCAGTCAATAAAAGCTGGTGTGGTGGTGCATTCATGTCATCTAGCTGTGTGGGAAGCATAAATAAGATTGCAGTCTAGGTTGGCCCAGGCATAAATACAAGACCCTGTTCAAAACATAACTAAAACAAAAGGACTGGGAGGGATGGCTTAAATGTTAGAGTAACACCTAGCAAAGCACAAGGCCCTGAATTCAAACCCCAGTACTGCCTTCCGCCCCCAAAAAACCTATGGGGTGGTGCTACCCACATTTAGGGTGTACCTTCCACCCCTTAGTCAATCCTTGCTGGAGATGCCCTCATAGACACACCCATCAGTGTGTTTTACTAATCTCCCTGACCCTTCTCAATCTCATCAAGGTGACAATTAAGGTCAACCATCCCAAATTCACCCCTTGTAACTTGACACCCAAATACATCCCCTTATGCTATAACATTTACTCCTGGTCCCCAGAGGGCTTCTGTCCATCTCATGATGCAAAATGCATCTATTCCACCTCTTAAGGTGGACTAAGCAGTTCAAAAGTCCAAGTCCATAGTCTCTCTGTATCTCAAGGCATACTTTTTAAACAAATTTTTATTTTTTATTGTATTATTGTTGTATTGGTGGTACATTGTGACATTTATAAAAGTTATTACAATAGATCATAGTTGGATCCACCCCCTCCATCATTGTCCTTTATCTCTCCTCCCTCTATTCCTTGAATAGTTTTAACAGTACTCATTTTTCCATTTTCATTCGTGAGCATATAATATTTCCATCATATTCACCTTCCTACACCCTTTCCTTATATCCTCCCCCCTCCCACCAGTGCCAGCCCCCAGCAGGACCTGTTTTACCTTCCTGCTTTCTGTTTTTGAATAAAAGCCATTTTTGTTTGTTTAAGAGAGCTATACAGGAAGTTTCATTGTGACATTTCCATGTATATATGTATTACAACCCAAATCGGTTCACCTTCTCTATTTTTCTTCTCTCTACCTTTAGTCCCCTTTTTACTGCAATTTCAACAGTTTAAAAATTCTAGATTCATTCTTGTATAGGAAGTACATCAACCTAACTCACCCTAACTTCCTTTTACCCTTCCTCTCTCATTAGCGCTCTTCTCTTAGTGTGACCTGTTTTTCATAATGTTGTTTGTATTGGGTCTGTGTTACACATGTGAGAGAACACATGCGGCCTTTGGCTTTCTGAACCTGACTAGCTTCACTTAAGATTATGCTCTCCAGTTTCCATCCATTGGCCTCTCTCTTGGGCTGGCTTTGCTCACTGCATGCAACTTTCCTTGGCAGACATGTGTTCCTGATATCTCTAACTTCCTGGGGTCTCCACTGCATCTTTAGCTTCACTTTCACAGCTTCACATAGCTCCCTCTTAGAGGTTGTCAGCAGGGATCTTGACCCTGCTCTCCTCTGGAATCTGAGCATGCCTGCAAAACCAGCATCACATGGACAATGCCAAGTTCTGTCACCAGCTTGAGCAGTACCTGGGTCTCCTTGGACCATGGTTATAGTAGCCTCTGAGTGCTGAACACCAGGAAACACTTCCCTAGGTGGTCTGTGCTAGCAGGGCACCCCAGGAGCTGTCTCTTCTTAAGGGAATGTCTTTCAAATATGCTCACACTTTTATACCCTTGAGGCTGTGATGTGTGGGGTTCTGGCCAATTCCTAAGATGCTCTCAAGGCATTTTTCCTGTCATCCCCATGCAAAGAACTTGGCTTCTTTTTAATAGTCCTAACTTCTTTAACAGACAAACTTTCCTTGGCCCCACCTTTACAAGTGCTTCCTTTGGGGCAAATGGCTAGTTTTCCCAAACTTTTTTGCTCCTAATTCTCACTGTAAACTTGGCTAAAAACAGCTAGCAATAACCATGCCACAGCCTGAATACTAGGTTGCCTTGAAGTTTCCTCAACTACATTAACTAGTCCCTTACCTTTAGACTCAGTCTCCCTCAGAGGCTCAGGGTGTGGACAAAATGTAGGACAAGTTCTCCGCCACAGCGTAACACCAATGGCCTCTAGTCGAGTTCCCAACAATCATTGTTCCTATCTGAAACCTCATGAGCACGGTCGTTATGGTCTGCATTCTGGACTTCTGAGCTCATTAACTTCTGCTTACAGCATTCTAGGGCTTGTCTCCTCCATCTCCAAACCTTTCCAAATTCCTCCCACAGACCAGTTACAGAGGCTTCTGAACCACATGGTCAGGTGGCCAGTAGTTACAGAAGTGACCCCACTTCTCTGGTACCAGTTTTCTGTGTTAGTCTGACAGAATGCCTGAGAAAGAACTTAAAGGAAGAAAGGTTTATTTTGGTTCATGATTCCAGAGGTTTCAGCCCATCGTCTTTGGCTCTGTTGATTGTGGGCCCATGGTGAGGCAGAACATCATGGTGTTGGGAACAGATGGCAAATGATATTCAACTCATGGCCAACAGGAAGCAGAGAGAGAGAGAGAGAGACAATGCTTGTGTAGCTGGCTTTCTCCTTTTCCCCTTTCATTCCATCCAGCCCCTAGCCTACATTCAGGGTAGATTCAGGGTAGTCAATCTTTTCTGGAAATACCCTCTCAGACACACCCAGAGGTGTGCTTTACTAGTCTCCTAGGCACTTCTAAGTACTAACCAAGTTAACAATCACGACTGACCATCACGGTGTTGTATTAGTAATGTGACTTGTCTGGGTAGAGGGTTGCAGAGTGTGGACTCACAACTATGCCTGGGCAGTGGGGCTCTGGGGCTGGTTGTTCCAACTGTGCAGCTGTCCCCAGTACTCAGGCCTGTGGTCAGTGCTCCCTGAGGTCTACCTGCCAGGTACCAGGGTGAGGAGGTGCTCACTTGTCAGTGCTTGTAGTCTGCTGGGGGCAACACACAGAGCAGGTAACACAGTTGTAAGCTGTGGTGAGTTCTCAGGAGACCAGCAAAACAGGAGGCCTTCTTTAGGCAGGGCCATGAAGCTAGGCCTCTGTGAGGTCAGAACCTACAGGATGAGAAGGAAGTGGGCCCTGTGATGAGTAGGGGTGAGGATGTACTCCTGGCAAGGATAGGGAGCTGATGGTGGCATGGTAGCTGGTGGGGTTGGGCAGGTGACCAGGCAAGATTACCTTGGCTGGGTTCTGCAGGGCCTTCCCAGAGACCCTGGGATCTACTTCTAAAAGCAGGGTACTCCCTGCTGCTTCATACCTGAACTTGAGTGGGCAGAGTCTTGAGGAGCTTGAGTACAGTAAGTCTGCCATGATTTAACTTCTGCTGTGACAGCCCTAGCTGGCCCAGAGCATCCAGGCTTTTTTCTCTTTTTTCAGGTATGCTGAATGAGGCCAAAGAAACCTGGTGTTACAGTTGGTATGATGGCTGATGGTAGATATGACCACAGGTGTCCTCTGAGTTGTTACTATGGGTGCCCACCCTCTGAGGCTCCTTTTCTGTTAGGCTGCTTTGGTCACAGCCAGAGCTGAGCCTCGGACTGGCTGTGAACATGAGACTGTCTAGGCTTGGCCGTCACCCAGCCTGAGGATTTTGTGTGTCTTGGCACAGATTGCTTCTGAGGCTGCCCTGACTTAACAGGTTGTTGAGGGAGATGTGCCCCAGAGGTCAGAGAGATTAAACAAAGCCTGGCAAAGTGTATGTCACGGGAACTGAAAATGCATCTGACATTAAGGTTGTCAGATGACTATGCAAATGCTTTTTAAAGGTCTCCCTGGCCTTCATGTCAGAGAGACGAGCTTCTATGTTGTAAATCATATGCATCGTGCTGCATAATCCTGAGAGAGCTGGCTCAGCACAGACAGCAAGTCATCTCATGCCTTTGACACACCAGAAGAGGTTTGTCCTGAGTCTCTGGATGGCGCTGTTGCTGACCAGGGGCCCGCACACAGCCTCTGCTGCCTTTGGGGGTGGCCCTCTAGGAAGGTTCGGGCTGTTTTGATTTCCTCTTTCTCAGTGTGCAAAGTGAGACCCAAGGAAGCCTGGTGTGACAATTTGATGAATAATGATGGTGGTGTCCACAGCACCTGTTCTTTTCTAGGGAAGGAGTTCTGTGGGCCGGCATTGACTCAAATGTTATTT